GGGCGCCGGCGACGACCCGCGTTCCCGCGCTCTCCCGGGCCCCTACCCCTCCCCGTCCCGCCCAGCCATACCCATGTGAAGGCGGGAGCTGTTTATTAAGATTTTATTGGTGACAAAAGAGCTTAAAACAAATCGACCAAAAATCAAGTACATTGCCTTGGTACGGATGCTCGTCGACTGGTAAAACTCAGGGTGACTGCTGCTGGGAAGGTGGAGGGCGAAGCCAAGGGAAAGCAGAGGCAATGCGGGCGGCAGACAGGGCGGGCCTGGCCGGGCTGCCTGTGGCGCCCGTCGAAGGGAACCGAAGCCCGCGGGGAAGCGTCCTGGCCCCGGCAGGGCATCCCGCGCAGGGAGCAGCTGTCCCCTCCGCCGTCACTCACGGAGCAGCCAGCCCCGTGGCCCCGGAAGTCGGCAAGCTGGGCTGGCAGGTGCAGGCCTGGGTGTCCGCGGGGACGGGACGGCCCTCGGGCTGCCACCTTCCACCTCATCCTAAGGGACAGAGGCACTGCCCGCCGGTCCTGGCTGGGTCCACGGTGCAGGGCGGCTGGGCTCCTCAGTCCTCGGAGGCAGACGCGGCCTGGCCCGGCTACTGCCCACAGCGCGAGGCCGCTGCAGCCGAGACCTTAAACATCCTCCTGAGACCGTGTCCGCGTCGCTCCGGCTGCAGGTGCCACCTGTGGACGCCTCGTTTCTGGAAGCTGCTTGCGACTCCCAGGTCCACCACTAAGATCTTAGAGACAAACTTAGAAAAGTATTTTTCAGTACTTCTTTGAAAAATCTTTAAAAAAACAAACAGAAAAACCCAAAACACCGTTATTTTCTTTAAATGAACCCCCTCAGAACACAGGCCTGGGGACCTGGACAGTCCAGGAGCCGCGCTCCTCGGGCCCGGCTGACTTGGCCACCGCCAGGAGCCTGCAAGGGCACAGAAATGCGAAGTTTTTTTCCTGCTAAAACGTAGTCCCCTTTCGATAAAAGAGAAAAGAAAGAAAAAAACAGAGGAAAGGGCTACTCTGAGATGAGGGTCTTCTCCCTCCGCCTGGCCGCGGGCCCAGGTGTGCGCGGTGAGCTGGGCCTCCCGGGCGGCGGGCTGG